CCCCAAAACCCCAAAACCCCAAAACCCCGTCTATTATTATTAGTTCAAATAAGTATTAATGAGAATTAAATGCCAGTGCTAATTACTAAAATATATTAAAATGCAGTCTAAATAGCAAGGCAATAAAAGAAACAAAAAGTAGCAATATAAACAAGCTTTCTAGAACACCAAAAAGTCTGCAGAATTGCAGAGAGGCTTAACAGGATTCTTGGTCACATGTGATAGAGCTCGAGAGGAAAAGTGCGTAAAAGAAATCTTTAATATCCTTAATGACTGGATTGAGAAGCTTTACCCAGATCTTGATATTGATGGCATCTTAAAAGAATCTCATGAGTAGAGAATGAAACTTAAGTAAGAGAAAAAAGCTCAAAATTCAAAGTAAGATGATTAAAAGATTCATGAGGAATAAGCCAAATTAGAGGAAGAATAAAAGTAAATTGCAAATTAAAATGAATAGAATTGTAATTTTCAAGAAATGGAAGACAAGGCAATAAACATTGATTAATAAATTAGAGATGAGATTAATCAGATGAAAAGACAAAGAATATTTTTCGTATTTGAGACTGGTACTGCAGGGGTCGTCTTTATTAAACTCTTAGAAGAGTTTAAAACCTACATTGATGTGAATCTTGTTGGAATGAGTATTATAAATCATGTAGTCGAGCATAAGGAATCAAACTCACGATATGCTTTCAGATTTATCCCTGTTGATTTAATGTGTAAAGCTGGCAAGTTTGATGAGTTTAAGGTAATGGCTGAGCCTATTATTAGGAAATATTTCACCCCTCTTGGGGAGAATTAAGAAGTTAATGAAAGCAATTATAAGACTTGGTGTCTTGAATTTAAAAAGAGTAATAATGAAAGCATTTAAAAAGCATAATATTTAGATTTCTTCTTTAACTTAATTGATGGCAGAAAAAACCCTGTTGATCTCAGACATGCTGATATAAACATAATCATTGAAATATTTAAGGATATATTAATCTTGGCGGTTATCCCAAAGTACAAAGAACTCAAGAAGTGCAATCTTTAATAGCTTGTTAGAGGAGAATAGGCTTAAGACAGTGATGGTGAACCAAAGAGAAAAGTTGTTAAAATTAGTGATTTATTAGGAAAGAGACAGTAAACCCTAGCAAATGATGATATTTAGATTTAAAAGTAAATTAAGAGTCCAAATAATGAGGTTGAGATATAATCTAAAAATGAAGAAATTTAGCAAGTCAATAATGAATTTGGTTTACATTAGGAGAGCAGTGATAGCGAAGATGAAGAGCCTAGATTATTGTGATATCAAATCTTGAAATATTCCTTAATTAATACAATCTCATTTGATTTAAGATTTATTTGAAAATTATTTATCTAGATGGGGTTTTGGGGTTTTGGGG